GAATTATGTAAGATAGGCACTCTATGGTCTAGCAATTCAGCCTTAGGTAGAATGGCTAAGCTTGTGCTTCACTAAATAGGGAAGTAGATCATTCATTAATGTTAATAAGACCTGTGAGTGCATTTCGATTTTTAGAGGCAGCTTGCTTACTTCACTGTTTCGTACAACGCCGATGAAATCAGCCTGCGGTGGAATGGAAACGATGAGCTCAGCTTCATAGGCCCCTTCTCCTTGATTCTGAGCCTTAACGATCAATGTCAGAGGGTTGTCGTCCCCAATATAGATCTTCTTTTGATCACTACAAGTTAATACAAATCTAGTTAGTGAAAAGAAGACTACATGAGAGAATATGACTGTTCAAAGAAACGAGATAAATACACAGACAGCACTCAAGATATTTTCAGAGTACTTCACAGCTCAATAGAAACCAGAAAAGATCATACTGGGAGCAAATTCAATGCTTCCCTCAGCAAAAGAAAACATTGATGCCACTAACATAGCCCTATTGTTCTTATTTATTCCTAAAGTAACTTTATATCTCTGAATATACTTTTTAATTTCTTGATATTTTTCTAAAAGCTGAATTAATCATTTGTCATAATTCTCACAATATTCTTTATAATTTGTATGTCATATAAAATGGAAAGGATATTCCTTAAGAGTATATGTCTACAATGAAGTGTGTCTTTAAGATGATATGATATTACTTTGTGAACCTCTACCCAAAGCTGAATGGTAATACATCTGTCAACCTGGGCAACTAGTGAAAATACAGTGAAAATATTTTTTTGAAATTCAATATCAATAGTGTTATTATCATAAAAAATCATGCATTATTCTCCAACATAACTAATTCTCACTAAAAAATGAACAGCAAAGTGTGTTCATACATTTAAATTTCTTATTATACTGTTTATTGTCTGGAACAAAACTTACCTGTCTACAGAAATTTCCAGTTNTTTCTTATTATACTGTTTATTGTCTGGAACAAAACTTACCTGTCTACAGAAATTTCCAGTTTGGGTTTACAGACATTGTCTTCACCACAGTCAAGTAGAATATGAGCCTAGAAAAAAACATTTTATTTTTTCTACATAAAAAAATACGAAAACAGGTTTCATATGCAATATATATCAATATATGTGGAAATACATATATATACATATGCATATATTTTTATATACACTCATCAACTTGTTTGTATACCTGCAAAAGAGATCATGACCACTTATGTTTTAAACAGGTCAGTGTAGCTATTCAAGAATGAGAAAGAAGAAAAAGATTCAAAGGACATAATACAATTACATGGAAAGTTTTAATTTTATCTCAAATTAGCTGTCATCATTCTGGAATAAAGTCTGGTGTAAAAGAGAAAGTAATAGTCAAGAAATGGGGGTTCATTGTGACTCTGCTTCTAGCTAGGTTATGTGATCTTGAGCAAAATAAATACCCTTCCAGAGTTTCTCACTGTGGAGGTGCCTCTGCCAATATCACAGAAATACGGCTGCAGAGGATAAAAGAAGAAGGAGCTGTAGATATATAGCAGCCATTCAGTCAGGCAGACCAAAGGGGAAAGGAAATTGGACAAAATGAGACCAGCATGTGCATCTCTTTGGAAAGAGATGAAGGAAAAGGAACTAGAAGAGTAAAAGTTAGGTAATCAGGATAGTTAAAATGAGCAAAAACCTGAACTTTTTCCCTCTAGATTTAGCCAGGAGAAGGTGCCAGCTAGAGTAATATGGAAAGACCAAAAGAGAGAAATAGTGGGAAGAAGCAGAGGAGCTTGGGTGAGAGAAGGAATATAAAAATTAAGAAAAGAAGGAGGGAAAATAAAGTTAAAGCCATTCTTAGTTTGTCTCTGTTAACATACCAAGGGCTTCCCAGAGGCAGACAAAAAGAAGAGAGAAATGGATTTAAAGGAGAAGAATAATGAACAGAATCCATTAATGAAAAGATGATGATGCTGTATACTTCCAAGTCACAAAGGATATGCCGCTACCCAATTATATGATAGGAATCTTAACTGTCAGATTAATTGAGATGAAACCCCAAAATATATGTGAATTAATTCAATTACTTAGATGTAAACAGTTGTTATAAACTTCAGGGGAAAAAAAAGGTCACGACTATTAGAAAACCTTGAGGAATGTGATTCTTTAAGTCATACCAAGTATAAATCACTGCTCAATTAGTTCAGGAATAGAGTGTGGAATAATAAATTTACTAGTGATATGGTGTGTATAACATTCCCTGTTAGAATGACAGATGAGTATCTGAAGTTTGGAATGAAAAATATGTTTAAAATATTAATAAAACTGTGGTAAATAGATACTTGGCTAACCACCACTCTACACAAAAGAAAAAGGACTTAGCCGGCATTAGAGCAGCTACAGTATTAAAATACACTATCATTAAAGATAGTTTCAGAAATAGAAAAGCATAAAACAATGTCTTCCATGCCCAGATAACCAAATCTCTACATTTATATACTTAATACAGTAGCTACTAGCAAGCCACAGGTGGCTTTTGAGCACTTGAAATAAGCCTAGCATGACTGAGGAACC